GACTCTGGGTTACAAAATACCAAACACTCTGTTTCTGCAGTTTGACAGCAGTCTTTTTCTTACCTGTGAAACTGATACTGTTACTGTGAAATTAATTACAAATGGTCAGTGGCTGTTTGGAGGTACAGTGAACCCGACCTAGTAGAATAACAGAAAGTAGGATGAGAAAAAGAATTGGTAAGTAGAAGGGCCAAAAGGAAACATGAATAGCAAATGTTTTGGAAGTCTTCCCAATCCAGAGAAATGGGCTCCTGACTGCTTTAGTTAAATTTAGTACAGTTTTCTCCTGTAGGGAAGCAATATTGACATTTGTGCCCAAGGATGCTGGTATAATTTAGAAGCATTAATCATTGTATCCGATATGTAAAATGTTGCTTGAGAGAAGGGGGAGTTAATGTATCCTCCCCCTGCAGTGTAGATTTGGGTACCAGTCAGCAGAGGAGGTTTAAGGCAGATGTTTGGAAAAAAGCTTTCTAATAGTGAGGATGGTGAAGCACTAAATCACATCACCTGTGAGGGTTGCAGAGCAGGCTGAATCAATGATTGACAATTTTTTTGATTTGTAGACCCTTTCTACAAGTTTTCCCATGGAGACATACCTTTTACAGTCAAGTTCACTGACAACAAACTTGCTTTTTGAAGTTACTATCCCCTAAGCATCGCAGTCCCTGAACCACAAAAAACACTGGCACAGATTTTCTGTGACTCAGTACCTCCTTTGAAGTAATGGTAAGTAGGGCCAGAAGCTCCATTTAATGCCTAAGTAAACAGGCATAGCGTTGTTGCAGCTGAGCTATTCCTCTGTCTTGTAGTGCAGTCACGTAAGTTTTGTTGAAGCAGAATTTGGCTTTAAATAACCTGTGAGTAATGCAGGATGCCTGTGTGGGAACTGACAGGGAACCTGGCTGTGCTTGTGCTTTAACCCATAACACTTTCCCCTGTGGAAGGGTTGTAGTGAAGGAGCTCTAGATCCCATCTCTGGTAATAATAAATTGGAATTTTGCATAGAAATGTGTGTGTCCTGCGGTGCTGGGGAGTGGGGGGGTGAGCCTGGACGATAACCTGTAGCCTGACCAGTGCAGATCACAAATTACACAGGGGTTGAAGTGATAGAGAATGGGGAGAGAAAAAAAGCTTACTGGGTGTGGCAGCGAGGTCTGCATTTGCTGAGAGCTTTGAATCCCAAATAGAAACACATCAACATCATGCTGCAAAAACACTAGGGTGGTTGTTCCAGTCTGGAGGCCTTTTCACTGTAGGAAGTATGGTCATGTTTCCTTCTGTTTGTCATTTGCCTTTGTTCCCCTTGGGCTTTTATATTTTGTTACTGGCTTGGTATCTTCCCTATCCATCAGTCTGGCGCATCCTATTAAGCAGCTTTTCTTGATTGACTAATGAGGTGCTATTTTTGGCAATGCTTTTATCACTGTCTTTTATTGCTCAGCTACATTTTCCGCATTTTCGTTTGTTATTCTTTAGTGGTTCCTCTGTTGCTACTGTATTTACTGTTACATGCCCATCACCTCACTGGGATTTCTTTGGTCAGTTGTTACTCCTCTCTCCTGTCATTTCCTTGCCTGCTCCTTACCATTTGTGTCCCCCCCGCTTCATTTGGGTTTGTTCTACCATCTTACAGAGTCCTTTTCTCATCTTCCTCCATCCAGTACATCACTCTTCTCCTATGCCAAAGATCCCCTTTCAAATAACCACAAAGTAAATAAGAGGACAAAAGCACTGCCAGAGGGATATTCATCCTATCTTAAGATAGCTCTCTAAACCAGGCAGGACGAATCGCGTCAGTAGGTTCCTATCCCTGTTTGTTAACTATAGAAGTCTAACTAGGATAGACCAGATGCTTAACTTACAGAGAGTTAAGTGTAAGTAAGATGAATAACCATTCATGTAAGCTACTAGGGCTTAAAATGCTGAGTATTAAGACAGCATGTGCTACTGCACATTAAAATGACAGATGGAAGAGTAATTTAGGAAGCTGTTTGTAAGTTATAGGATTTTGGCAGTTGTTTAACCCACAGCAATAAAGCTATTTAGAATTAACATGTTTTTGAATCACCTTTTTGTGTCCCAATGATTAGCAGCATCAGATTCCAGATGCAAGCTGGCCTTTTAATCCAAATAATAGCTTTCTTCCCATCATACATAAATACAGCCTTAACGCATCAGTATGTTAACTGCAGTAATGCTATTCTCAGAAGATTAAATGAAATATTCCTACTTTCATCTGCCTAGCATATCCTGCAGCTGTAAGGTATTTCAGAATTAGCATAAATACCGGTCTAGATGTGCTCGTTCAGTTTTTACTTAAAGGGATTGCTGTATTCTTGACACCCACTTATTTCATTCTCTAGAAATGTAACCTGTGAGAATAAAGAAACCCAAGGACAAAATACAGAGCTCTGTAAAGGGTTACTTACTTCCCTCTGATGTGTGGTGGCTTTACTGACTTAACTTGTAGGCACCGAGATGGACCCAAGACTGTAATAATTAAAACTTTCTGGGCCATTTCATGCTGGTTTCATGAGGTCAGTGAGATACTTTTCCTTGACAAGATTTTCCTACACATTGTGTATGGTAAAGTATTACCGTAAATCAGTCTGGTTCTCCTAGCATAAATGCTGTGGCTGCTATTGACCCAATTCAGAAGTCTCCTGTGATCTGGCTCATTTTGCAGCACAGCTGCCCAAATGCTTACTGTGCAAAAAGGCAGGGTATGGGCTTACCGCGCATTAGCTACCCTCTTGTAGTCAGAGCGTGCCTGCTCTTGTCTTGAGGCGTTTTATGTTTACCATGGGTACAGGCAATTGGCACAGGGTAGCTAAAATGCTGTAAATCAGTACAGTAGTAATTTGTTCAGGTATCCATACCCTCCAGAAAGTATTAATGGCAACACAAAAAAGTTACTGGGTGTCTGTGTTCGTCCTGTGGTTAATACTGGTGTAGCACAGTTGGGTGTATGTGGCTTGAACATGCCCTTGAAAACCTATTGGAAACTTGCCTGTGTAGACGAGCCCAACAGGGTGATGCCCTGAGTCCATGTCTGATGTGTTTGGATGTTAATACAAATCACCGTTAGAAAAATTTGCAAAATGAATGTATCATTCAAGCCACAGTTAAAAGCTCTTCATGAGGAGATTTGACCGATTTCCAAGCAGTTAATTGCTAACTCTGCATTTCCTAAATGGAGGAGTGGGAGAGATTGGAAAAATAATCTTAAGCAGGGAGAACAGTTACAGACAAACACATTTAACAATAATCTGTAGAGAGATTCATGGCAGTCTCTCACTGGCAATTAAATAGTCAATGGTTTGGATAGAATCCTTATCACGAGAAATCCCTATATTGCCAATTGTATACAAACCCTGTTCTTACACAGTATGGACTGCTGCTGCTGAGTGAGAGGGTCTGACTTGCTGCAACAGTTACTAGGATGGAAGTGAGAAAATTTTGCTAAACAAATTTAGAGGTACACAAAGAGAGAAGGTGCATGCCTCTCTTCTGTGTGCACATACACGTTTGTGGATTTTTAAATAAGTATTGTATGCCTTCCCTATGTGAAGGTTCTCCTAAGAATCTGCTGATGTTTCTAGTTTAGAAATGTGAACAAGAGTGACGTGATGTCTTTCTTTTCTGGTGCATCTTCTGGGAGTCTAGATGATACGCATGATAAATCTTTCACCTTGGCAGAAAGAGAGGGAAGTGTTTAATATTTAACCAAGGTTGTCTTTTACTTCAATATCTATTGATAGGGGACTGCAGTTACAAATATGTAAAACTGTGTTTGTTTTTGCTAAGAGGAGTGCTTGGAAGGAGAAAGGGATAACCTTTCCCTAAGGAATAGGCCTCAACTACAACAGAAGACAAGAGATTGTTTTAAAAATCCATCAAATTAAGCCCATGTTACACTGAAATAGTTTAATACTTGCTTAAATAGGAGCATATTTAAACACAGTAGTTAAAACAGTGGCTTTTGAATCGGTGTTGTTAAATTGTGCAAGTTGCTGTGTCTGTGCACTTGTCTTCTCAAGTTCTCACGCCAGACTGTCAGTGATTTTCCCATGGGGATCAGCACATCAGGGTTCGTGTCATGTTATCTCCCGTTTACTGAAGAAAATGGTCTACTAACCAGTGAACTGGATTCACTGACTCCCAGTCATGCACGCTTTTTACTAGAGTAATTTTTTTAGTATTTGTAGATTTCTCTAGGTTAGATGAGGATCACATTTCCAGAATTGCATTTAGTTACAGTTACACCATTGGGAAAAACTCCTGTTACTAATGGCAAACTACCAGAAGCATCCTGCCTGACCTGCTTTCTGTCCTTCTCAGAAACTTAGCAGAGCTTTCCAAGAGAAAATGTAGAAGTTAAAAAGGCTTAGCCTAAACTTAATCTATTTTTTTTGTGACCCTTTAATAGATCTGAGCTGCATCTATTGTACAAATCTGGTATGTTATGTTGCAGGTAGGAGTCCTGTGTCACAATTTCCTGTACTCAGTGTATTTGTTACCAGTCTCAAAGTAATTGTACTTGTCTTAATGAAGTGTGTATTTGTTAATCATTATTGTAATATTCTCTCTTGCTGGGCTTGTATGATACGTCAGCAATCTATAGAAACAAGCTTACTGCAAGAATGCTATAGTTTTGCAGACAAAAAAGATCTACTACACCTTTGAAAACCCAAACAAACAAGAAAACAAATACTGTTTTTTCATGGCTTTTAAAGTTTTTGTTATAAAAAATAATATGAATAGGATGTTTTCAGTAGAATTGAGGTGCCTCTGGGCTAGAGAGCTGGAGATTTCACAGAAAATGAGTGGGCACATGCAGCTTTCAAATACTTACTCTGCTCGGCTGAAATCTGTAAGCTAGAATTGCTTTTAAATACCTAGTCTTGATGATTAATGTGTAGGCTTTCCACCAACATGTACAAAAAAAGCCTACTAGGAAAACGTGCATGCAGTCACACTGTGCCTGCCTCTTGCAGATGCGTACAACCCGCAAAGTGTCGGTCTGGCCCGTGGGACTGGTAGGAGGACGACGGTATGAGCGCCCAGTCGTGGAAAACGGCAAAGTTGTTGGCTGGTACACTGGCTGGAGAGCTGACAGGCCCTTTGCTATTGACATGGCAGGTAAGTACCAGGTTTCATGATACATGAATGTTTCTCATAATAACTGTTGTTACATTTTTTTATGAGTGGGACAGAAACAGATGCTCGGTGTAGGCAGCTTTTAAACTTCTGAAGCACATCCGCTGTATGTAGCCCTTCAGCACTAAATATCCTGAAGTCTTAGCTTGCCTATCTCGTCTAATCAAGTTGCTGCTTGGTGATATCTGAACTTACTTTCACTTGTTTTTAATTTTATGTGGCAACTTGGCTTTTATGTTGTATAAATTGTTTGTCTGAAACAAGTTAATTGTAAATTAATTCATCCAATTAATTTTTGCAAGGGGCCCATGCCTTTCATTGTGTCATCAATCTACACCAGGCAGTATAAATGCAGACCCTTCTTAGACCTTGTGTTGCAAAATGCTACTTTATCATGAAATTACTCATTTTTTATTGTTTATTTGGAATGACGGTGATAACTGTAGATGGATATAGTTTGAAACACTGAGCTTAGGGGAAAAATCACTGACAGCTATAGCCTAGTAGATGAAGGCAGAAGAGCTTCAAAATGGATCTAATCAATCTTCTGCTGTGAAGTTAGCACACCACATAGCTCTGTCTTGCTGTCAGTCCAGGCTTAGACAATCTTTTGTATATATTCGCAACTGCCACATGCATCACCACTGTGCAGAAGTCCAATTTCTGATGTCGCAGCAGCTGGTTTCCCAGCAAATGATATGATATTTGCATTTAAGCATCTTCTGTTTTCAGGAAGGAGAGGGAAGGGGAAAAGTAGGAATGCAAGGGCAAGAACAGGGTAGAAATAGCCAGCCATTTTCTTTTTTCTGATACCCGTGTGTTTTGGGGGAGGGAAAAGGACAGTGCTTTCTCATCTCAAGAGAATATTTTTATATGGATTGAAATGTTTGATTAAAAATATATACACTACTTACAGTACAATTAGTTTAAAAGAGTAAAGGAGAACTAATAGTTGTTAACGCCTCAAAGATAAGATACAAACATGAACAGGTGAACTTTTCTGCACTGTAGAAGCATTTGAAGTTAATAGTATCACCTGGCATGAAAATAAATACTTGAGTGTCCAGCTAGAGGCATTCCTCAGGGGAGAAGTATGTATGTCAATCCCCAAACCTGTGCAGCCTGTTGAGGACTGCAGCTGTGCATTTTAACAGTCTCTGCCTGTGGATATATAGATACATACTGATACTATGCTGTAGAAGTGGTTACTTACGGGCATTATAAAGATGATAGCATGCTTCCTAATTCATTAGCAGCAGGCAAAAAGCTGAGGGACTCTAACCCAGACACGGAGGGATATGTGGAAAGTTCTTAAGTTGTTGTTTACACTTTGCAGTTGCTGGCTGAAACACTGGCATGAGGGAATAGCAGCTCCATTAGCAGCATCACCTGCTCAGACTTTTACTGAAGCCACGGAAGGGAGGGTTATAGAGACAAAGATACAAGCGTTGAGAGTGTAGGAGTTATTACAGATCCACAAACAAGGAGTTAGTACTTTGTGAGAGAACTTCTATTAGCCTTCAAAAAATAACTGAAGAAATTAAATTACATTTTTAATTTCAGCAAGGAGAGAAATGGATGCTGTGTAGGCTGGTAAAAAGTTATGTTAAGTTTGCATCTTCATTTCCCTCAGGAATACAGTGGAAGGGCACAGACAAACAGAACCTGTAAATCCAGAACTGCATAGGTGTCTGAACAGGTGCAGTCTACAGGATGATGTGTTAACACTCTGTTTTCCACCCTTGCCACCCCGACTCCCCAACATACCCCCTGGGGACCTGGAGGACTTGCTAACAAACCTAAGTCCATGCTGTAGTACATCACTGGCATTCTGCTATCTGCTGGGGCCAAATATACAAGCAGTTTAGGTTATACCATATGCTGCACATAAGATCAAGGTTCTCTCTTGAAAATACTACCATGGAAAAAAAAAAATAAGTGCATATATTAAACTGCTCAGCTGTCTACAGCTGTTTATAATTAATGTTCTGATTCCCAAGACATTGGTAAGGAGGCTCTCTTTGGTTTACAGAACTATCTTTTCTAGTGATTTTCACAAGAAGTTGATCATGAGGCTGGGTGTAAAAAGAATGACTTTTTAAAAGGTTTGGGACCACTGATTTAACTTGTGTCTGTTCAGAGGAAGCGCATCCTTGCTTCTAAGCACATAAACTTGTTATTCTAGACTTCAAAATACAGGCCCAAATTGCCTACTGCAAGTGGAGGCCAGTCCTGCTGATTTCCTTGGGATCAGCTCAAAGACTGTACCTAGCTGGCCAACTTCCCTAGTTTCTTCTTTGAAATGTACTCACACATGGCAATCCCATTCGATCAGTTCAGTGAACATTGGTTATTTCTTTTGAGAAGTTTGTGGATGACACTGCTATTCTCCAATGCTAAATTGCATTCAGAAAGCACAGTAGCTGTTTCCTGTGTTGTCTGGCAACCAACATGCCATATGAATTAGTTCTGGTGGTTTTTAAGTTCCGTCTCAGTTTTAACCGTAGGTGAGGTCTAGAGTTTGACACAGACTTCCTTACCCTCAGGGAAGAAAAGTGAGAGAGAACTGGGTGTTGTAAGCAAAAAGTGACTTGATTCTGAGGTAGGCACTGTGTTGTTTATTATAGATCTTCTATATTAAATGATGCCGTCAGTGATTTATTTTTGGCTTGTTCCTAGTGTCAGAGTTTTTGGCTACCCATGAGAACAAGTGAGACTGTGATTCTCCTAATGTCAAGATTGTTCCAGGAAAACAAATGAATGTTTTACATTAGCATTCCAGCAGCTACTTCAGTCATAGAGATGAATCCATGCCTGTGAATCACTGGGCAAGCAGATTTTGGACTTCTGGTCCAGAGCTCATTCACTGTGTCCCAAGTTCCTCTGCTAGGGCCTGAGCAACCACCCTTTTTTTTGGATTTTGCTACAGTTATGAGATCTGTAGTGGATCTTTCTTATGGTTCCCTGAGAAAAAAAGCTAGTCAATTAATGATACTGTAAAACAGCATATTTTGTCTGAAAGAGCCACTGTGGGAAGTTGCAAGTACAAACAAAAAAAATTTGAGTGGCTATGGCAGACACCACACTCAACAGCCCCCCCCGCCCCAACCCAAAACCCCAACCACCCCTCCATCAAAGGGTAACAACTATTTTGAATTCTGAGTTTGAAATTGAGAGCCTCTTTCATGGTGAATTAACTGTCAGCAGATGCCTTTGTTGTGAACTGCAAAAACTTCTGGTTGAGCATCTCCACCTTACTGCAACCCACATACATAGTATGTCACAGGGAGAAGATAACTTGAAAGAAATGGATCCCAAGCCATGGCATGTTAAACAAGCCAAAGGTAGTACCTTGAACTATGTGGAAACCAGTATATCCATTTCAACATCAGCACTGAGCTGGTGCTCATTTACACACTCTGGAAATGATAAATGCTCTCAGTTTCTAGCTTGCCTTCAGCTAGTATCCTGTCTAGAGCATTCAGGAAGTAAAGGCATTAATCACGGCAACAAAATCTTTAAAGGCTGGCTCAGTCTAACCGGATGAAGAAAAATGGTTCTGCCTTTTAACAGAAGCCATTGGTCTAGCAGAAGTCAAGGTGTGAATTAACAGAAACAGCTTCGTAGACAGAAGCACAGATGTAATCTTTGCTGTGTCTCCCAGGTATCTTGTCCTCCAACAAATTAATTTTTATCTAGGTGGCTCTTCAGCCAATTAGATTTAATTTACAGCCCTGCATTAAACACAAAAAACCCAAAACACCTCTTCATACTCCGGCTATGAAATTGCCCTGTGGCATTTCATGTGAACTTAAGCCCAATATGACCTTGTAGGAATAACAGTCATGTAAAAGAATTTTATGTGTGTAGAACTGTTCAGTTATGCTGCACTGGAGACAGTAATCCCAGATTAATCCCTGTTTGGGGATAGAATTCAAAATAACAGTGTCTTTTCATCTATTACTACAGGATCATTATCTACTGAGAGAAATTACTAGTGCCAGTCTGGTCAAAACCTGAGCCATCTCCTCCGAACTAGACAGCCAGGAGATAAGCCTCCTTGAACTATTTTATCTTTTCAAGTGGCTGACTGACTTACAGGATTCTTTTAAGAAACAAAGACTGCATGACCACTGATCAAAGAAACAAACCTCAGGCCAGTCAGTGCACTGTAGTCCATGTCCTTGCCACGTGCAACACTCAGTTTAGTAATTTGACTTTTATTTGATGCCTGAAAACATGGGGGATTTTTGATAGCGCCCTAAAATGGCAGTTTGCAATAGCATGGTAGCAAGGGCACATATTACATGCAGGGGACATGGCACATCTGAAGATCTGTGCATAGCAGAAATCTACCCTCAGAACTGAATCCAATTTTCTCAGCAGAGGAGCAAGCTTTGCAACACCAGAACCTAGGAGAAATTAAGGTATGGTCTATGGGGGCAAGGGAGCCAAGCTGAGACACACCAAGATAAGCAGCAGAAACTCTGTCTCTTCTGCTTAGAATAGGATTCCTTCTCCACTCTAAAAACTAGGGCACTACATTAACTTTGGTGTTTACTTCATTTTCTCCTTTATGGATGACCAGCTTAAACCTTAAAAACTACATCTTAAATATCTTTAAAAAGAAACAGCAGCTCACACAGCTGATCAGGGCTCCAAAAATGCCTTCCCTTGCAAAGCCAACATTTGTTTGAGGGGCCCAAAATACCAACCATACTGAAGCCCAGTTGCACCAAAAATTTATACTGAGGAAAAAAAAAACAACCAACCCCTACCCAAAAATACTGAACTGAACCAGGCCAATTTGTTCATCAGTGGTAAGTCTACGGTCATCTTTCAAAGTGCAGAAAGCTGGCTGTATGCGCCGCAGCTGTCTGTTGCTGAGGGAGTTCAAACTCCCAACCTCAGCTCTTCACAAATGATTACATGTGGCTACAAACAGCCCTGGGATGGAGCCCACCTTGTGCTCCCTCACAGCCAGGCTACAAGTCACAGGGAGCAAGAAAGGCCTGTCGCCGGCTGAAGACAAACACCTACCTGGGAAGAAAAGTCCAAACTGCCATTCTTTTGCCTGGTACCACTTGCCTAAACCCAGCAGCTGCAGCAGGGAACAGCTGGATCCCAGCACTGCTGCTAGCAGGTGGTGCAGGCTGCAGAGCTTTAACCACACAGAGTGAGGACAGGCTACAGCCAAAATCTCACACCTCCTGGAAGTCTTGTACTCACTAGAGTACTCTGCAAGGTGTGGATAAGCCCCTTCCATCCAGACACCTATTCTTCTTTATCTTAGGCAGGATATAATGTATAAACTGAAATGTGTTTTCTTCAACTGTGTCTGTCAGTGAATTGGGACCTCGGTTTACATCGAACCTGTAGTCTTCATCTGCAGTGTCCAAATCTTTATGTTAAAAAAAAAAAAAAAAATCACTTTCTGGTATCTTCCTGTGCTTTGCTACAAGCAAGAGCACAATAGTTAAGATAAAAAGTCGTTTCAGTGTGCCGCCTTTACATGTGATATAGTAATTACTTCCTTGTATTTTCCTCTCTAAAAGGCTCCCATAAAAGCCATAGATACATTCAAGGAAAATACAGCAGCAAGGTAATTCTAGTAAAAAAGGGGATAGATTTATATTCCACTAGAGAAAGTTACACTCATTTTTAGATGAGAAAATTTTAATACTGGCTTTGGAATTAAATGTTCTTACAGTTTTCCAGAACAGATGTCAAAACTGTTACTACTGCTGTCATAAAGGGACAGCTGGAACCACTCTGAACTGACAAAAAAAAGGATTTCTTTGGTAGGCTTGGCAATTAGACATGAGGAGTCACAAACATAATTTTTCTTTACAAGTGTATCAGTTGAGTTTTGAGTCATACTTAAAGCAGCATACATGAGACTGAACCTTGCTGAATGAAAACTGGAGAGTTCTATAAATAATGGCAAGTTGGAGACTCATGAGAGCTGCTTCAGAGAGGGTGAGTTTGTTCAAACTAATGATTTCTCAGTTTGCAGTCTCCCTTTGAGGGACCTGACATATGTTATTAGAGGAACACATTGCAAAGAGAGGCATGTGCACTGATGAAGCCCTTTCAGTCGCGCTGTGTAATGCGCAGCTCAGCTGCAGGCTGTCCTGCAGACCGCTGCTGATGAAAACGATTCGCAAGTCCACAATAACTACACAGTGTACAAGGCAAAACATGAGTAGGACTTGTCTTTCAGCAACAGTAACATCAGAACTCTCTAAAGGCTAAAAAAATCTCTAAAGACCACAGTTGTTACATCTAAGCAACATATTTTAACCTTTTTTTCTGACTCTCACCTTTAAACTTAGAAGTTTTTGTACAATATAAATTTTATACACTTTATTTTACCTAAAATACAGTTTTATTTCTTAATTAGAAGTAAAAAGAAAGGATAGTCTGAGATCTTAGCAATACCTGACTTTTCAGGCAAAAAAGCGTATATTCTCTGCATGATGGGAAATGGATTAAACACATTGAAAATACGGTGCAATTAAAAAAATGCAATTGCACCTTCAGGGCAAAACAAAACAAGATAGGATCTACAAACCTACCAAGTATATTGTCTATCCATATAATCAAATCTACACCTTTTTAAAAAGAGGATGGGAGATTTCTAGGCTTAAGCATGACTTGCGCAAAAATGTAAAGCCTGAAGGTTTTTCTTAGCATTTTTTTTGCTCCCTCTCTCCAAGGATTTGCTGTGAGTCTTCAAGTGATTCTGTCGCATCCGAAAGCCGTATTCAAGCGCCGTGGCTCTCAACCAGGAATGCAAGAATCTGATTTTCTGAAACAGATAACAACAGTGGAGGAACTGGAGCCAAAAGCAAACAACTGCACAAAGGTACTGATTTCTGCACTTACTAAAACGCTTTCATATCACCTCCATAGATGACTGTACTAACACAAATGTTGTTTTATAGGTTCTTGTATGGCACACACGAACAGAAAAAGTAAACCTAGCTAATGAGCCAAAATACCACCTGGACACGGTCAGTATCGAGGTATGATCTGGAGACACAGTTACCCAGGAAGTACAGCACAACAGCTGTGTCAGAAGGTGTTCAAGTTCAGCCAGTTAAAAGAGCCTACTTCTGCGTGAGACCTTTTAACGGTCATCTGATGGACTTCTGTGGAAACAAAAGGAACTGGTCAGATACTCTAATAAGGAAATCAAGTGGGTGTGCTTTGTTCTAACTTGTTTGCATGCATGTCTGAACTCTCGTCTTAATAACTGACACTTACCTTTGTTTTAAGGCTGTTTCCACATAGTAAAAATAATCACGAGAAACGTGGCTGCAATGGAGTATTTCCAAAATCATCATTTATGTATATACTTTTTGTATTTATCCAGCTTAATGGTGTAATTATAAACTGATTTTAAATCACAAACTGTTGATCTAAATATTTGCATAAATGGATCCTCCAAACTGAACATGTTTTCCTTCATTAAAAGTAGACTTCTTGAAGAAACAGCAGTCAAATAGGTCATATGATAATGAAATAAAAACCAACAACCATTTATGGATTTATCCTTTTAATATAGGGAAATAACATTTTATCATTACGAGGCACCATAAAATGTAAACACAATCACTGTCATAAACCTGGATATCTCTGCAAGGAAAAATAGATCTGTTCACATTGAGTTCCCTTGTGTACATACTGTGCCACTAGTTCTTGGCATTAATACTGTGTACGTGCCTCGAGCGCCAGATTGGATTCTTTATCACAGCGACCTCAAACGGATCAAATGCTCATTTTTAAAAGAATGAACTATTGATTTGTAGAACTACAGCAACATCCAGGTTTATCTTTCTCTCGATAACTGTATTCCCTGTTATGCACACCATAATAACATCACAGTGAAATGTATGATGAAACAAAATTTGTTTGATACACTAGAAAACATTGCTCAGTGATACATTTACATTCTATTTATATATGATTAAACATTTGTTCATACAGTACCTTCTACAGGATTACTGGGTGATTTGGGGGGGGTCAGGGTTCATATTTTTGGATATTACTAACATGATAGCTACATCCCTTATATGCAAACATTTGATCTAGAATTTTGAGGGAAAATAAATCAATATGTGGTTAAGCAGCTTCTTAAATATATGGCCTATGAAATCATATGCATTGTATGAAAACGCTGCCAAGGATGTATAAATGTATTCTTGATCTGCTTTTCACTACATCAAATTTAAATCAGTATAGACCACAACACGGTCAGTCAGTTATATTCTTAATCTGAACAGCTGGGGAAGAAGAAAAAGAGTATGTACATGGAAGGAACAGTGAAAGTAAACGCATTTGAACAAGGAATGTTAGGTGGCCGTTCTGGGCGAGACTTCTATTGCAACTTTCATTTCCACAGCTGCGTGCTGAGAGTCTGACCAGAGGAGCTTCCCGTCCACCCTGCCGCTGTGCTGGGGGGCTGGCTGAAGCCCATCACGTTGCTGGAGCTGCTGAGATTCATTCCGGCCATTTGCTGATTCATCTGTGGGGCACACACACGAGCCTAGTTAGCACTGGTGCCGAAACACAGCACGCTGCTAGCCAAAAAGCAGTCATGCCCCCAGCTAGCAACCCAGTTATAGTACGTTTCCCTAAAATTAATATTTCTCATTAAATATTGACTCAGTGTAAGTTTCTCAGCATTTTTTAAGACAGCAGCTTTTCTGGAACCGTTCAGTCGCCATTACCCATCAGCTGACTGGCTGTAGCACTTGGTCAAGTCCAAATCAACACTCCACTAGTGGATTTACAGAGCGTGGGACGAAGGAGCCCCACGTGTCTCAGTAAGAGCTTGCTTTCACAGTTTCAAAGCTGACCAACAAAACTGTGGCAACCGCAACAAAGGAACACCAAATAATATAGCCTTGTCTGCATTTGCAACTCCAGATGTTTTTTGTTCCAGCAATATTTCTCTGGTGACCTAAGATCTTAATACACAAGTTTTTATAGAAATTGTCCATTTAGGTGGCAATCAACAAAGAATGAGGTGGATTTGTAACCTGGGGATTACCTAAATCTAACTATTCTTGCTAAACAATCTACTCAAGATACCATAATTTGTTAAAAACAGGTGAAATCATTCACATGAAACTAAACACGGTATCTAGTTAAAGGTGGGAAAGAGTTCAAAATTCAACACATTCACTTTCAGGCATGGTGCAAAAATATTTCTACTCTCTGCAAATATTATCTAGCCACTCTGATTTTCGGTGCGCAATGTAAAAACGTTCTTCAGGTTACTCTCACTTGCCTTCCGAAAAATGAACACTTACTGACAAGCCAAAAGTAGCTGCACAGAGTAAAGATATCCCCTCTCGTGAGTCCGAGAGCAAAAGAGCACTTGGAGCAATCAATAACCAGAGCTGGTGAATAGGGATGTTGTACCAGCAACATTAGATCCAGGTTAGAGACTGCATTAGGCAAAAATCAGAGTTCACGTAAGCATGAGCCAACAATACCGGCTTGCAAAGCAAAAATGGTGAAAAAAATTGTTAAGTTGCAAACTAGTATTTCAGGGTAAAATTCAGTACTGTGTGCTTTCACACGTGTATCTGCAAAACCAACCTATTACTGACTGTGGAAATTTAAAAAAAGCTGACGAACACATGCTTTACCTAGCTGTTAATCTCTTCTGGAGTAGAACTCTTAGGAAGCAGACTATATAAAGCACACTATTCTGGTAACTAAAGCAAGCTCTCCCCCTTTCGACTGGAGCCAGAGATGAGATCACAGTTCCCCTACAAACTGTGGACCGTCAGCACGCTGGTGACATCTGATGTGCAAGGCGTACAGAAACTCGTTCAGGGCTTGTTCTATGAGCCAGCTTTTAGTATACGCTTGATTGATAAGCGCAATTTTAATTTCAAAGCTGATACGGGTCTTTTGAAAGATACCTAGAAAAAGACTGTTAGCAGTAAATCCACAGATTTTTCTGGTTTGACATTTTGACATTCCCACCTTTTAAAAATTACTTTTCAAGGTAGAATGACAGCCTGTATTTTCTAATTGGGGCTGTTTTTTCCATGTAAGAAATGCTGCTTACCTTCATCAATGTTTACACCACAGGACTGAGCAGAACAGTAAAAATTAATATAATCCAATTAAGTACATCACTAAGGTTCACCTCCTGAGTTACTACAGTAAGCAGCACGGAATTATTATATTGTTCTTATAATTCAAATAATAGCATGAAAAAAAGTTGCTATCATCCATACTGAACTGCAAGGGAATCACATAGGTTTGTCATCTCCCCCCAGTAACCTCTCAAGTACCAGATTTCAAAGTGTTTCACTGGATAATGTACAAATACAGCACTAAGTCTCCAGGAACACTTTTAGAGAACCTTTCAAACATGTTTAAGAAATTTGTAAGTAGCATGGAAATGCTACAGATAAGTAACAGATTAGCCTGAGCAAGTTATCTACAGGAGAATGTTACGAGTGCAAAGCACGACACATTCCACTGAAATTTATCCTGAAGTCTGTAAACAAAAGTATTAATTGTTAAGAGCTATCCTCAAGCAATTAAATTCTGCTTTTAGTTATAAGGCTGTGTTTACATCTCGGTATCCTGTAACTAAGCTAAGCTAGCTTTTTACCTGGCTAGCTCAGATGCCAGGATGAGAGTAGCTACAGAAGCAGAGAACTGGTCTACCTTGGCAAAATTTATTCTCTGCTTATGTATTAGTTATATCTAATTGAATTATTCACTGGGTTTTTTTCCCGGTGCCTCCGAGCAGTTCATAGTCCAGCAGTCTGTAATGTGGCTACACCGCAACTACAGCCAAACATTTTGTGTCCGAAAAGCAGCAGCTTTTCTAAAGCACTCTTGTCTGGGAATAATAGCAAGTCTTTACCTGAGAGAGGTTCCATGGAGCTTGTTGGCTTTGTTGCAATCCATACTTATTTTGTGGCGTGACCATCTGTCCCACCATTCCACCTTGAGGTCCAACGACATTTTGAGGAAGTCCCATCACACCAGTTTGTGTAGCACCAGTAAATCCATTGGGCATTCCCATTCCTACCATCACGCCTGTGCTCTGTCCCATGACTGGCACCGACTGTCCCATCACGTTTCCCATCATCCCAGTTGCTGCAGGCACAGGAACTCCCATGGCTGGAAAGCCTTGAAAATGAGTGGATGGTTGTGTGGTAAATGGCATAGAGGACGACCCCATGAACATACCTGAACCAGAGAAGGGAAGACTTCAGCAAAAGCGTTTTGTCATTTTTCTCCCCCATCCCCATAAGTCAGAAGTGCACCAAAAGGATTTTAAAGGGTAACTCTGTCCAGTTGTACGTCAGTGCTGTTAATTTAGTCTCTGGTGAAAGTAAAAAAATGCTTAACAGCTCTGAAAGGAAAGGGACTCACTGCCAGAGGTTAACTGCCAAAAAGAGTTTTGGCAAATCCCTGCGGTGAACCAGAGTCTTTTAGTCGCGGTATTGGAGGTTTTTGTCTTCACTCAAACATAGCTAAAGTGAAGGTATGACAGCTCTGTGCTGATCCGGCCAGCCTGCTGTTGGCACAGCAGAGACCCAGACCTTGAGCGATGAATTAGACGGCAGAAGCTGAATTCACAAATCTTTCAGAAATTGTATACTTGATAATTTGAACAGCTATAAATAAATTAAAATCACATACTATTTTTTTCTTGAGCTTCTGTATTACATTTCAGTAATTTTCTCATTTTTACAAATAATAAAAATAAAAATCTTTGCTTGAATATAGGCAGTGGGGTACCCAACCTTACATTTTATACTTGTAGGACAAAACTCTTCTAGGTAAAGCTTTAAACAGGACTGCACAGAAACCTTTACAAAATTATTTACCTGGAGCATTTTGCTGCTGCATGGTTCCTGTGCCATACAGTGATAAGATGGAGTCTTTGGAGAGTTGTTTCTTTGCTGATTCTTCGGATTTTGTTGTTTGCTCAGTGAATAGATCAAGATCCCCGGATGCCGCAGACAAGGTGGCAGCTGCTGGTTTAGTGGAAGTGCTCTGGGAAATAAAGGTCAGGACAGACTACTGAATGAAACCGGCAGAAGATGTTATGTTCAATATTTGCTGCACATCCTCACTCCTGAACCAAATAAAAACCAGTTCATTTACAGAAATTAACTTGAGGTAAACGAGGATTTTAAAAGCTGTGGTATGACCAAAGACAAAAAAGCAGTACATACGGTATGGAAAGACCAGACGGAGGTTACAAAACACGCAAAACTAAAACCCCAACCAGCTCCAGGGTGCACACATACAGATTATCCACTCCTGTTGCTCTTACATTTTTCATCAGTGAGAAGTGTAAATCATGAGCTGTGGTTAGATTATGAAAAATAATTAGGAAATCAATAAGGAGATTACAATTCACATCTCATTAACCCTCGCATAGGCAGAATAGATTAGAGAGGAGCGAAAACAAAAGATTAAGTGCTCTGGAATATAGTAGTACAACTAAGATGAACAGTTTTTTTGGAGAAAAGGCAAAAGTAGAATTTCAGTTGATCTACTTAAAGCAGTAACATTTCTAAAATACATTGTTTGTAACTGGCTTAGAGTTCTTTAAGCACATTTCATTTATTGAGAAAGCGTAATTATCTAAAACTTACTGTAGCCTACAACTGAAAAACTAAAATACGCCCAGACTGTCAGGCTTTTTACTGCTCTTGCACCGGAATGTGGGGTAAACAGATTACATCCAGGTGTCTTTCAGTGCTGCTGCTTTGCTGCTCATGCACTTACAGCTCCAGACGGGCGCTTGCCTAGGGAACTAGTCCACACGCTGCGTTCTTGTTGTATTTCTTAAAATACACAACTCATCCTGTTACCAGTGGGAACTTTCGATGCGAATCAACTGTATAGGCATTGAAAAAGAGCCAGGATCGCAATGCATACCTAAATTACGGCCTTATTTTAGTCCAGTTAAAATGCTGCCCAACTGCTTAACATACACCTGCCTAATCCCATGGTACCTCTGGGTTTCGACTCTTTCCTGCACTGAAGGAAGATCCTCCTTGCTCTACCACCGTGAACGGACTAGATCTGCAACCAGGTCCCTCCGCTTGCTGTCGTCGCATACCAAAGTTCGTCAGAGAGACAGAAGCCACCACAACATACGCAGATACGGTAACACACCTATATTGTTGCCTAAAGCAACAACCTCCAAACCTTTCCTGGTTTTGCTGGCAGGCTGCTGACTAGGCGCTGAGAAGTCCACTAAGGTCACACTGGGGTTGTACAAACACCACAACACAAACATTCAATACGCAGCTTCAGAAAACACATCGGATTCCTGAAGTGCTAAAAAGCTCTTGAAAAAGCTAAAAAGCTCAGTGTTATAAATTGGAGGGGAAAAAAACCCTGCAAAACAATTCTGGTACCAAGTAAATTGGCCAGAAACCATCAGGAGTGCAGGTTCACATGGTTGATGGTGAAAAATCTCTAAAACTGCTGTGGAAAGGGAAGAGAAAAAGAACAAGAAATGGAAACTCGGTGGCAACTGAAAACCCTGCATTTATACAACAGCTGATGCGGGCCAAGGTCACCAGACCGCAGTAAGCAACAAAAGGGAGGGCGGTGGCACTACAAAGGGAGAGCAGACAGAACCAGGAATTGTTCAGCTCCTGTGACACCTTCTCTCTGGCCAAGGTACACTTAAAAACCAACATCCTCATGTACCTATTATAAAAGCTACTGCCTCTTGCTTATTACTAACAAAAATTTCTGGTTGCAAAGCAAGATTGACGTTTTTTAATGGGTAGTAGGAAGCCCCCTCCATTTGAGACAACTCTTTGTCCATGTGGCATAACCAGTCTTCAAAAATACCAGAGCTGGATTCAATGATACATTCAGGTAAAAGCCCCTCCTAAATAGCGGTATTTGTTTTACTGTGCATGTACCCAGGAAGTCCCAATATTGAATTATTCCATACTGACACGGTCCTCCTGCCGTGGCATCTGCCTCAGACAGCCTCTGTACGACAGCCGCGCTCAGCGGACTGGAGAAATACACGTAAGCAGGGAAAGCCAGTTAACAGAGGCGGTTTCAGCAGGGAAGGGGTTTGTTTTCCTCTAGAAGGGAGAAGAGCAGACATGTCTGCTGGGTTTGTTGTTGGTTTGGTTTGGGTTTTTTTTTTAAATAAATAACAGCATCAAAGAAACTGCTTTCATCTGGGATGAACCACAGCTTGAAGTGTCTCCAAATCTATGAAATACTGTTACTATAGGTGCTTTAACAAAATAAAGCAAATCACTACGTGCGTGCACAGAAGAGAAGGGAGAGCCAAAGACCCAGAGGACTGATCATCTATTACATTTATGTCATGAGATAACTATCCACTTAACGTCTCTTCATTCAGTTTGTTTTTGGAAGATTCTGAGAGGAACCAAAGCACTGAACAAGCATTCCCTGAAGTATTCATCAGCTAATAAATGGAAGGTAATGCAAAATACATGGCAAGAAAACAGCAGGTGGCATTCAAGCAAAAACAAAAACCAAAAAACATTGACATGATTTCACATATCTAACATTCTGACGCTATCCGAGACCCCTGTAAAAACACACACCTGGCATACGTATAATAGTTTTCCTTTAAGAAAGGCTACACATAGTGCTCTCAACCAGTCATTATACCAAAACTAAACGCTCGTCAGGTGGTTAGGGAACATACTGCTGAGCGGTTTCATGTCAGTGTAACAGAATTTTTCAGAACTACTGGAAATCATCTCCAGTACGCTTCATGTTTAAACATAAATAATTTTTGTCATCAGTAGCTTATGTATTACCCATAAAAGGCAATGCCTATCCAAAGGAAGTTTCCACTGTGAAATATTGGTCAGATGTGTCAGGACCACAAATACAGGAGCTGAATCCATCACTTCACACTTGCCATCTGACCACACAAACAGCACGTGGCTGACAAGAAGTTTAGATTAAGGCATGAGCCTAAAAATAAGTATTTACATTTTGGCTTTTAATTGCCAAAACGACTGCAAAACAGCAGGTAAAGATCATGACATCCTCAATATTTTAAGGTGGTCTGACAGCTGTAGCAGTCCAGATGGCTTTTGCCCATTGCCTGTGGTCCTGTCACTGGGCACCGCTGGGAAGAGCCTGGCTCCGTCCGCTTTGCGCCCTCCCATCAGGTATTTATACACATTAATGAGATCCCCCTGAGCCTCCAGGGTGAGCAGTGCCAGCTCTCTCAGCCTCTCCTCAAAGGAGAGATGCTCCAGTCCCTTCATCATCTTAGTGGCCCTTTGTTGGACCCTCTCCAGTATGTCCATGGCTCTCTTGTACTGGGCAGCCCAGAGCTGGACACAGCACACAGGGATCGAGGTGAGGCTCGCTGGCCTGTAGTTGCCTGGGTCCTCCTTCTGGTCCTTCTTGGAGATAGGAGTGACATTTGCTTTCTTCCAATCCTCAGGCACCTCTCCCAATCACCATGATGATTCAAAGATTATCAAGAGTGGCTTCATAAAGACATCAGCCAGCTCCCTCTGCACTGTAGGTGCATCCCATCAGGGCCTTGATCTATGTCCAGTTTGCTTAAGTATTCCCTGACCTGACCCTCTTCCTCCAAGGGTATGTCTTCCTCGCTCCAGCCTTTCCCCTGGTCTCTTGGGCCTGGGACTCCTGAAGACTGGTCTTGCTAATGAAGACTGAGGCGAAGGTGACATTCAGTACCTCGGTCTTCACGTTCACATGTCCTATTGTCACCAGGGCCTGCCCCTTTCAGCAATGGGCCCACATTTTCCCTACTCTTCCTTTTGTCACCTACGTACTTCTAAGTCCTTCTGTTGCCTTTGACATCTCTGACCAGATTCCACTCCAGTTGGTCTTTGGCTTTCCTAACCCCATCCCTGCATGCTTGGATAGTGTCTCTGTATTCCTTCCAGGTTACCTCTCCCTGCTTCCACCTTCTGTATTCTTCCTTTTTGTGTGTGAGTTTGGCAGGAGCTCCTTGTTCATCCCTGCAGGCCTCCTGGCATCGTTTGTCTGACTTCCTGCTCATTAGGATGGACTGCTCTTGAGCTTGGA